TACACGTTACGTCCTCCCGAGATTTTTGTCCTGTAAACGCAGAGAATCTTGAAATCCGGTAAAAATAGGTAGTTTCAGTTGTATCTATCTGTATCAGAAAGGGCTCCGTTCAGGATATTTGGATGCCGCAGACACCATCAACTGACCATTGAAAATTATGGAATCTTCGTGAAATGGAAAGAAATTGAATATCGAAATTCCTAGCAAAACTTTATGAAACATACTATTCCAATTATCACTTCATCCAACCTGTAAAGTTTACTGCTAGGCACATTTTAATAGTAAATAGCGCTGCTTATATGCTAAAGACCGAGGCTCGGCTTTGTAGCACTAATAAAGTCTTTATGATTGGTCCATTCATTTCGATAATAAATTGGTACTAGCATATGCCAAAAAACTGCTATTGACTTGATTTGAATCAGCCCTCAAAACAGAGGTTCTTCATCGATAGTTTACCACCGAGTGGTTGCTTTTGGCACTTACTACTAATCGAATCTATTGACAGCTGCAGCAACCTCAGGCAGAGGGTATATTATGTATTTCCAGTCTAGTAAAGCGCTGGGTAAGAACCTTCTTTATTCAGGGTTAGCCGAAAATTGAAGTTTAACTCAGAAATGCCCAACAAACCGGTGGAAGTGATCACAGTAAGAGCATATAAAGCGGATGCGGCAAATGACCACCGAGTAACGAGTTCTTCTTCCGAATCAGTCCACAGTTGTGCATTCAACGTGAATCGATCATCGTACTCGTGTGTTCGTGATAGCACTGATAACAACGGAAGTATTCGCCGCTCCACCTTAAATTCATTTTATATTAAAAATTTCCCATTCTACGCTCAGTTCACTTTTGTTTTGTACAAAAATCCCTCCTTTCGTTGCTTTTTATACTCTTTTCTTTTGTATTAACATTCAACAAACTCGGAAATGGCGCAGCAGTTGGCGCAATAGAGGAAATGTAAAAAAAAAAATCAAAAACTCAAAAATCACGAAAAGTCAAAAGTCCCCTCCGTGTTCGCTCCCAGTGAGAGGCGGAGGCACTCGAGAAGCAGTACAGATGCCAAAAGCAAGCACACGCTGACATTGATATACAGTGGGACAAAGATCCCTGTGCATGGGCTCTTCTTATAACTTACAGAAGATCGTGTTGCGTTGGCTGCAAGTTCGGGCATACATATATTGAGCGTCTCGTTGATAATCATACTATAAAGCTTCAACACTTTCTGCAGCTTTGTTCGACGAATCTATAAATATTCATATTTCTATTTGTTATACAGTAGCGTAACATCAAATATATCAGTCAAGCCAAAGGCTCCAATATAGTGGCGATGACATTCGGAAGTATTCCACAGGTAGTAAATGCCAACGGCAACCACTCGCTGGTCTAGGAATGCTTATAAGCAAGCTGATGGTGGGTTTGACTTTCTACCATATGCCAGTACCAGTTTATCATCAAAACGAATGAAGAATCGTAGAGGGGTTGGTTGACGCAATAACATTGGTAATGTCAGGCGAAAAAGTCGCCTTTAAGGAGTTTTGTTCGCGCGAAAGCTATGCATTTCTACTCTGCTTGGATTGATATTTTCATGATCATGCTGCTTGGCGCTTAACGTTCATGCCAAATTACATGGACTTTTTCAAGGATATTTTCTGCTCTGTCCACATGGGGTACAACTTCTTTTATTTTTCAAGCATTTTTACCAATAAACTTAACTTTGATTTTAAAAATACCAATAAATCCATTGTCGTTGGGAATAATGAACCATTGTAATCTCAGTCAGCGCTTGGTAACTGTTGGCATTTGCTACGAATTGGACCATTTTCCGAAGGCCTCCGTTTTTCATTAGGAGTGAATATGAGGGAGTTTTGGCTTTTGACATAGATTTTTATATTATTCTTGATTTACATTGCTGGAGAAGCCAACCTTTTTGGGAAGCTTTATTCCTGGGTGGTGTGCTTGCCATACAGAAACAAAGTAAGCATAAACAAAGTGACGAAAAAGAAAAACGGTACCTGTAATTCGTTGTCAGCTTCCAGCCAAATAAAAATAAGTGCGCCGATGGCAATGTATGTTAGCAAAAGCAAGATGAGACCAACATGAGGCACGAGGATTTTTAGCAGCTAAATAAAAATTTATTGAAAAAAGTTAATCAAAGACTTAATAACCACCTTTTTCCCAAACAAATTTATTCAAAATTTGAAAAAAAGAATCGGAAATTTATAGCTTCTTTCTGCTCTTGGGCAGAAAGAAATGTCGTAGAAGGGGCTCAAACTGCTCCTGTACCATGAAAAGCCGATATTTTCTCAAGAGCTTTTTGATCAAAAAAAATCTGCGATATTTTGCGATATTCTGCGATATTTTCTCAAGTGCGATATTTATACTTCTGCGATATTTTTTCAAGAGCTTTTTGATCAAAAAAGATTTAAAAAAAATAAAAACCTTGACGATGCGCTTGGCAAGAGGTTCCGGCGGTGCGTGCTCTTCGGAACATACTGAAATAGTATCACCTTTTCTCAGTGGATATTCGTCCCACTTCACTTTACCAATCGTCTCTGAAAATTTCACATTTAAGACGAAAGAAATTGAAAAACACATCCTTTTTTCTAAGAAAATTTTAAAAATTTAATAAAAATTTGTTAATATATCAATCCGAAAATAGCTTTTCTATTTCACATAAGAAGTGCAAGAGGATTAAAGAATCAAAATTCCAGCAATGTTGAGGAAATTTTGGTTATAATAGTATCATACATTCACAGGAGCGTCACAAAAAGGTGAAAGAGAGGGAAAATGGAACCTTTACGAGGGAATTTAGGAACTGCCCTGTCCTTCCGCCGAGATCAATGAAGGAAGGATGAGACGAAGGAATCGACCTATTCTACCGCTGAGGATCGGTTTTTGAGGAGGGAGAAAAAAAATGAAAAATAGCGTCGAGAGCATCAAAAATCAGTGAGGGAGGGTGTGAAATTTGGCAGAAAAGGCGACAAAATTGGCTGAAAAGTGCTGCTGCACCGAAACCCGGAAAACTCGCTGTTGCTGAAAAATTTTTTACTCGAGCAAATAACCAAAGATGTAGAATCCAAGGTATTTCCTCGCCTACCAAGGAGGGTTGAGTCGCTGATCAGTTACCGACAAAACTTATGATAATAGAGAAACTCTTTTCGAATGGAATTCGTTCAAAGGGGACGAGTTCTCCTCTCCTTTGACGAGGAGGCGCTGGCAAACATTGATAATATCTATAATAAAAACGAAAGCCTTTTGGATCAAATTTTGTTCCAAAAGACGAAGTATCCGCTTCTTGCATGTGGAGATATTAGCCATTGATAATCTACTGATAAAATTAGTAGTAGCTGTGAGATCCTTTTTCAACGGAACCTTAGTCGAAGACGAGTATAACGATTCA